TCGGCGACCCGGCGGATTCTAAGCCAAGCCGTGGAGAGGTTCCGATGCTCGGCTGGCTGGGCCCTGGGGCGCCGATGCTTGGAATGTGGCAGCTTGGGCCGCAGGATGCTTGGCTTTCTGTCCGAGAGGCGCCGATATGCGCCGATGCTTGGAAAGGGCTTTCTGAGCTCAGCCTTGCGCAAGGCTTCCTGGTTTTACTGGAAGCGCAACGCACCGGCACAAGCAAAATGCGGAGGCAGCGGCTCGTGGGAAACGACGACTTGCCCTTTGGCTGGTTGATACCAGGCTTGGACCATTGGAGCTGTGGCGGGGGGGCCAAACAACAGATTTAATCTTTGGATTAGGGGCTCTCCAGAGGTTGGGTCTGCGGAATCGTGTCAAGGCAGCAGGCGCAAGAATCCCTATGACGATGGGCACCTTGAGTGTCATATTCTGGGCATAACTCTCTTGCGGTTTTGCTTGGAAAGCGTCTCTTGAAAGGAAACCTATATGGTTTAATTACAAAACGGCAAGAGAGAACGGCATCTCGAGGAAGGCATCACGCAAAGTAGGACTGTTGTCTGGTCTATTTTTTTCACTGCACTCAAGTCACAATAGTCGTGCCAACTCAACCGTATGCTGAATCCCGTCGATGTTCTTCTTTGGAAAAGGAGAAAACACGTTGAGCCCTTTCCCATTTGACCGCGACACCTCGCCAACTTTCGGTTCCCGAAGGTGCCAGGCACGCGCCCGCTCGGAGACTCGGCACCCCGAGCCCCGCGATCGATCCCGAAGCAGCGATCCACACGCCTCATCATCTTCTGCTCATAGGGCGTCAAGCCTCAAGGCCATCATCTCGTAAATGGTCTGAGTGGTTTCTGGGATTTTGGATGTTTGAGGGGAAATCGGTATACTTTACGGTGGACGCCCAAAACATGGCAAGTAGGGAAACCAAGGAAACTCTGTAGGTTGGTGTACTTGGAATACTTGGGGCATCCACCATGGCAACCGGTTTTGGCATGCATCGGCAACCTATGCGCCGCAAAACCACACCCCCAATTTGCAGGGGTATTCTCGCGAGTCAGGCCCATCAAATCGGGTCCGAGTCAGTTTTGCGGTGAGTCGGGTCTGTGGAAATGAAAATGCTTGAATATGCTTGCAGGGTTGGAGGCCAGGAGAGCTCGGCTGACCACTTCCGAAACCGAGTTGCCGTTGCTGGTTGCTGGTTGCTGTTGTAGTCATGCACGACACATAAATTTGTTGAGCAACACAACGAGAGGCTTGCCTGCTTTGGTCCTTCGTGTGCTGTTTGCGCGAGGAAGCTGCCGCTGTAAGGCACCATCTACGGAACCTACTTAGATGGTCTGGGAATTCGCTAAGTATAGTAACCCTGGTTGTGACCCACTTGGCTTGGTTGTAAGTCCCCTATAACCAGGGTTGCCAACCCTCTAGGTAGATCTGCAGTTGTGCTCTATGAGTGCGTTGCCGTTTTCTCAGGCCACCTGCGAGGTGAGTTGGCCTCAATGTAGCGAACAGCCCCGACCAGTTGCTCTGCAGAACGTCAGCGGGGCCAGCACAGGCGCTTGTGCAGCTAGCTTGCGGTTCCACGCTTGTGTGCGACCAACATTTTGGGAAGGGGGAGTCAACATGCTTGGAAATGTGGATGCCGGGCCTCAAATATGTAAGCGCATGAGTTCAGCCTCCGAAATAAACCTTCTTACTCACTTGAGAATTTTGCATCCTTGGGTTGCAGATCTAGACCTTAAGATAGTCGAAAGCGGGTTTGAGTTTAGAGGTTCTTCAGAATGTACGGAACTTTTAAGAGGCCTAGCACAGCATTTGGATATTGGAACAAGTGTGATCTAGAGATGTACTGAAACCGATCGTCAAATGAGGGGTTGACCAAATGAGGGACCCTTTCTGCGCTGATTCTTGCGCCGCCTTTAAGCGATGTCCCCTTACAAAGGGGTCCGTCTATTTGGATGAGCACCCAAACTCCCTGATGAGATGATGTCGTGAGCACTTAACCATCGCAGCTTGACAAGTTCAGCAGCTCAGCCGATCCCCTGCAACGAGTTACTCGTTAGTTGCTTTCATCATTCGAACAGGTCAAGGTTTCCTCCTAACAAACATGGCACCTGACAGAGGGTCCCTGTTAAAGGAAGGTCGTGTTCCAGGGCCTTTTCAGGCTACATGTCTGTTGTTGGGAGAGTGGTAAGTCGATAACTTGTGCTGTCCAAAACGGGAAGCTTGTATCTGCGCATTTTTAAAATAGTAGCCCAAGCCTGCTGGTTCTCCCTGTGGTTTCCCCAAAAAAACCAACCCCAAGACAGGTTCACCGCTCATTCCTGAGCCTCGCGCCGCTCGCCGTATAGCCTCGAAAGCCCAAACAGTCAAGGTGGAAAGGAGGCTCCCGCAAATGCCGCCCTGGGTCGTTCATTCCATGCCCCAAGTGAGACTCCTCGCTGAACACAACCCGTTTCTTCACGCGCGTGGCCAACGTGAGCACAACTGGTCTTGGCCAACTTGGCCAATCCGATGCTTTTTTTCCTCAACGGAATGTTTCGGGCGTCGAAGCCCTTGAGGCCTAGCTTCGAAGGGAACAAGGCACTAGGCGCAAGCCAAGCAAGGGCTCTGTTTCAAGCTAGTGGCCAAAAAGGACCCAAAGCGTCGTGGCTGCAATTGGCCAAGAACGGCTTCCAAGCGCTTGGCTGGGCCTCACGCCCGGCGTTTTTTTTTTGACCTGGATTGATCCCCCGCCTCGGCTCGGCAGGGGGTCTTTCTGGAAGGTCTTTGGCCTGAAGGCGAGAGCCAGCAGGATTCGACGGGCCCCCTTGGGGCTATTTGGCCATGGGTCCAAAGCCAAATCGGTTAGCCCCCAGTGAACATCTCAATCCCCACAACAAATACAACTAAAACGGGTGGTGAATTCACCTACCCCAAAATGGGATCCCATTGGTTTTGACCCACAGCCATTTAAACAGGAAACCAAAAGGAAACCGCCCAAAGGATCAGGGTTCACAGGTTCCAAATCCTTTGACCCAATGGTCCAAACCCAAATGCCGCCGGCCCTGTTGGGGCCAGTTGGGCCTTCTGCAGATTGAGTTGGAATCCCAGCTTGCTGCGCACGCACAAAGGACACGCAGAGAGTTTCACAGAGACCCGGTCGAATCCACCATATTCAGTTGGAACTCACCGAACTTCACCAATGTACGGGTGTCTCCGACCATTGCAGGCCTTTTGGATGTTTTGAACGGCAAGCCAGAACGGAGTTGGTCTTCCCCTCAAAGGAAACGCCTACTCCCTGTAGATTAACAGGAATCCATGAAGGGGATCCCCGAAAGCAATGTGTTGTTGGCTTACTTTTATCTGCAGGAGTCCGTTTGCAGGTGTTCTTTGGAAAATCGAATAGTTGACAAATCACATCCATGCAACAAGAGGGTTGATTCCACAGTATGGTGACCCCATCTACAGGCATGTCCCATTGCGGGTCGCTTTTGGATGGAGCCAAAAGGAAACCAAGCAAATTCCCTTGAGCAACGTCGACCCTATCAGAAATAAGCAAGTAAAACCACATACCGCAGGGTTTCCACACATTGCCAGCATTTCGCGGGTACGTGGATCCGAAAATGTTAGCATGTCAACGACATGGTCTCTCAGGATGACCGGCACGCCGATGGTTCGGCCTTTCGGCTTCGGGGATCGACCCTTCCGACTTGGCCTCGTCACACCGAAGGACTCCATGCTTCGATTCCCAGTCCCGGCAAACAGATTTGGAGCCCCAAACATGGGTATTTTCCTTGTGGTCCCTTACCCCAAGAAGGGCACCGAGCCGAAAAACAAACACAAGCCCAGGTTGCCTCGGGTGGTTGACGACAAACTTCATGCGTATCAACTGATGATCAGCGCTGTTGTTGGGCTGCCGATAAACTTAGGTTCTGCAAAGCCTACTGTTTCCTCCGAGAGATGTTGCATGACTTTTTGCATCACCCCGGCTTAACCAATGCTGGCTCCCAAATGGGAGGCCTGAAACAACTGGGAAATTGCCCTCCCCCACGTTGGGCTGTTTTTTTTTTGCGGGCCATTTAGCCAAGTTCGGCATGCCTCCAACAACACAGAACCCTACACGTAGGGGCCACACATTTGCCCAGGTCTAAGAACCCCTCCTTTTAATCTTGCGGCTTTCTTTAGCCTATGGTTTGCTTGAACCTTGCCTGTCTCATACGCCGCAACGCGGGCTCGAGGCAAAGGGGCAAGCGGGCAAGCGGGCAAGCGCGCAGGCAGGCAAATGCATGCGATGGCCACCTTGCGCCCCGTCTCTCAAACGTCGACTTGCTGGGTTGGGATGCAAAAACAGTGGACCAATGCCCCTCAAGCATAAAAAAAGAAGTTTGATTGTGGTCCATACGAAATGAACCTTGAACAGAAATGTAGAATAGCTTCAAACAGAGAAAGTGGACACATTATTAAACCCTTAACTGAAATGAGATTTGACCTGTCTGACAGTTTTGAGTCCTGCACCTCAGCCCTTCAGTCATTTCAACACCATTTACCACCCATCTTTGAGATGTCACCTTGTCATTCAAGGTTTGACAGCAATCTCCAACATCCAAAGGCTTTTGCAGGCTGAATCTACAATCTGGATTTGACCAACTCTAGTGTTTCCAAAGACTGGCTCCCCCATCCAGAAAGGTCATCAAACGGAGAGCAACAGGGGCTGTGAACTCCCTAAGACGAACCCTCCGGTATAAAGAGGGGATTCCCTTGTCATTGTCACAGTGGGGATAAACCCCGAGCGATCCCACAACCCTGGACTATGGCTACCTGGCTATCCCTAGCCCAGCATAAGTCAAGCAAAGCCCTGAAAAAGGCGTTGTTAAGGGTCAATAAGGGATAGCCCATACAAGACCAGCTGGAAGCCCTGACAAAGAAGGGATAGTCTATACAAGAACAGCTGGATTTTCTGGAACGCCTGCCTAACCTCGACCTGACTCCCATCGCAACCCTCGCGCAAGCCACGCCTTGGCTGCCCGAAGCTCTAGGCTTCCCTCGCATCGCGCATGCGAACAGCTCTCTGGGCTGAGAGGAATGCGGTGGCTGCGAAATCTAGACGCACAAAACCGTTCCACCTTGGAATGAGTCGATTCCCCAACGTAGGTACCAACAAGCCATGGTTGCACAATGGTTTCATTTTGTGGTGCAGGATTCATTTCGCACCACCGTTCAGAGACCCAACGGTTTCTGATTAGATTCCCCTACGTAAATCTCAAATGTTGAAAGTTTCAACCATGGATTTCGTCCTTCCACAGTATGTCTTTAGGTTGCGGACCACGGTTTGGGGTGGCTCTAAACGGACAACCCAACAAAACTAACCCCTTGCCACCTTCTGGAGTTCTGTTTTGAGACATACCCAGATCTGGCCCAAAGCCACGATTTCGCCATTTCGCGATTTCCTGTTTCGTTTCGGTACGTACTTAGAGTCACCTCGAGAGACGAGAAGGGATCCTCTCCAAGTTTCATCAAGCCAGCGGCGAGGAATGGTGCAAAAGCCGCATCTCGAGAAGGCACCAGCTGGAGGGGCCCAGATGAGCAGGCTGGAGTTGTTCGGAGTGAAAGCTGGGTGGCTCATGGCAAGACGCGGTGTGTGGAATGATCGATCCACGTTTCCCCACCAAATCTGGGCATGGAAGAGGGGTTTCTTGATGCACTTGCAATGGCACCCAGCCTCATGAAAAGGGGCGTGGGTGTAAAGCAGAATCCACCCATTGCCAAGGGCCCCGCAATCACAAAGGCGGACGGGTTGTTCACCTCGGCTTGGCGCAAGTCGCTGCGTCGCAAGTCGCACAGCAGCGGCTTGGAATGTGCGTCCCGAGTGGGCAGTATCCCTAGCAACTCTCCGATAAGTCCCCCAAGTGGAGCTGACCAAAGCAAGATAACCGTTGGGATGACCTGGGCTTGTGTTCAATCCCACGTCCGACCTGGACCGAAGACTCCAGTGTAGCTGCCTGTGAAAGCGTCTGCTTGAAGCGACCGATTTGATGCATCACTGGCGTCGACCCTTGTCAAATAAAACACGTACCCTGGAACAACCAGCTCTCACTACATGGGGTCCGCTTCAGAACAACAGGGGGGGGGGTTGTAAGAATCGTGCCAAAAGGTCAACCAATGCGAAGGTTGACCAGCGTTTTGGGACGCGCATTCACTCGCTTGATTTCACTGCAAAAGGGAATCAACACAAGAAGTTTACAACCACTACAACTCCTGAGATAAGCCCTCTGTGATCCTTGCATCTGTGAACAAATATGTGTGTACATGTACGTCTTTTGTACACACACACACACGTTTGACAGGACCCGGTTGATTGCATGGACACATTGTGGTTGTGATTTCCTGGGTCTAGCAATCATGACATCGTGAAAATTCCCTCTAAATGGTGGTTTAAATAGAAACAAGGAGACCTAGACCTATGACCACTTTTGAGGGACCCCCAGGCAGATAGATGAAACTGGCTGCTTGTGGCTTCTCGTTGCATCTCGGGCCGAAGAGGCGACCCTTTTTGTGAAGGGGAATCGCATCGCACTGTTTCGGGTCCCGGCCGGGCCCCAACCCAGCGACCCCCTGGTTTCCAAACAGGAAGAACCAGGCAAACGGGAGAGGAGGTTGAGCACGTGCTGCTTTCGAGTTCGAACTGGTAAACCTGAAATAAGAGGTGGATCCCTAAAGGACCCAACTAACCGTCGGCGAAATCCTGGTATGGATGAAACCCCCAGAATCACCAAAGAAACAGGCCTTCTGCTTCGCCCCTATGGTTTGCAGGAGACCCAGTAAAAGCAACTGGCTGACTGGGCTCCCGGCGTGGCCGCGCGCGAGCAGGGCCTGCACTGAGTGAAGCTCCAAGGAGCCGTGACGGAGATCGAGGCGATATTCCATGAAATTCGAATAGGTTTCTTTACGGGGAACTTAGAAACCATAGACAGACGCAAAAGCTTCCAGCTGTTGGGGGAGCAAATAGAAAACCGCCCAGGTGTTTGGTGTTGCACAAAGGGGACGGACCCAGCAAGCAGTGCTGAGCCATAGTAGGCCTTTTGGCCTTTGGAACAAAATGTCAACCCGGGTGTGTCATCAAGCCTCAAGTAGTGGATGATAGCGGCACACAGTGGCACCATCCTCAAGGAACTCGGTTTTGGGAGACTCGGAGACCTCTCTAGCACAAACTCCCGGATTTGTCAAAGTTCAAAGGCGGTTGAAGAATGAAAATGCAATCAGCTTTTACGCAACCTTGGCTCAAGAAGAAAAACATGGCTGAACCGCCCTCGTCCCGTTCTGATTCAGGTTCGCCACTCTCAGAATTGAGTTTGGTTTCTCTCAAAATTGTCAACACGGCCGATTTGGTCTTGGTTTCCCTTTAATCGACCAATGAATACCTTTTGAATCCAACAAGCACACTGACCCCAAAAAACTGTTCACAGCTCGAATACACATGCAAATCTCTAAAAAGCCCTTGGGTGTACCAGCTATGGCTGACACGGGAACATCCCAGTTTCAAGGCACTCAATTCCTGAAATTATTGACCAGAAAACATCTAGATGATCCTCCTAACAGCCTAATGATCCCCTGCCTGCATGCTCCTCCCTCACAAAAGTCTAGATGACTCTCTAGTTGGGTGCTTCGCCCAATAGACCCCAGAAACATAAGGAAGGTGGTCAATGCTTCGGGCCATGACAACAAATGGGAACCATTGGAAACTAGAAGGTCAGATCTGTCAATGCACCTTAGGCAAGTGAGAAGTCGTGTTTGACACTATCCTCCGAAGCTAGCCGAGGAAGCGAAGCGAGGGGCCCAAAGACTTTGGGGTTGCGGGACTTGTGCTACATCCAGTTTCCTCATGGTCATGGGGGAATCTGTTGTGGAGCTACCCTGAAAAAACACAAAAATGGAGCCCTTGGTTTGGGTGTCTTAGTCTTGGCTTACCTTCAAGCCTGCCGCGTCAGCTAAAATGGCTTGACGGGAAAAAGAAGGAAACACAAAAGCCAGAGTTCAGAAGGGAAGCTCAGACTGGCAATGAAACACTGGGTTTCTCGGAACAACCAACAACAACACCTGCAAAAAAAGAGACCATTTGCTCAATTGCCCCAAAGAGCCTGGATTTGCAGAAATGGGAAAGTCAAAGAATTGTTCACAGCCGGTCGAACTGGTTGGGCAAGTCCATACAGTTGGGTACTCAACAAGGGTTCCCTTTTGCAAAACGCCGCCCCTGGGCCGAGTATAGGGGCTCAATGACTACATGATTCTCCCCATCATCATGAGGTAGTTTGGTTCAATAGTACCCCATTCCACCTCGCAAGACCTACCTGTTTCCACACAACCAAATTATATATATATATACACACACACTCTATATATTTAATATATCTATCTACATCTCTCTCTCTCTCTCTCTCGCTTTGCAGGGCGCAGGTGCGCCTACCTCACTCCCCCCCAAAAACCGCCCAACCTCCCCCAAACCCCCAAACCCCCAAACCCCCAAACCTATCCAAACCTCCCACCTCGCCCCTGAACCCAACCCCGAACCCCCCGAACTCCCCCCCAAACCACCCCGCTGAACCAACCCAGCCCTAACTTGGAAATACCCTACCCGAGAACCAACCTTTCTACTATTTTTCCCCCAACCCCCACCCCCGAACTAAACCCCCCGAAGACTTCGCCGCCCGCCGCACAACGCGCCTGCAGCAGCGCCGCGGCGTCCCCCGGCTCCGCCGCCGCCAGCCGCTGCAGCGCCGTGAGCTTCAGCTGACGCCGATCGATCCGAGCGCCGAGCGACGCGCCGTCCGGCGGGGCGCCGGGGGGGTTTGGTGCTGCCCAAGGGAAGTAGCGGGAGAGACTTGGACGGGTTGAAAGCCCCGATTTTTTTTTGTGGAGGATTTAGTCTAGTGAAAAATCCTTCTTTGTCTTCTGTTTTTTTTTTTTTGGGGGGGGGGGTTAGTTGGCGTTGTTCTTGTTGGAATTGCCTGGATTGATAGGGTACGGTAAGGCCCTTGTTTGCAGAGCTGTAGGAAAATAACCTTTAGGGACACCTACTTGGAGTGTCGGCAACTACGGCAGTCAAGAACTGGTGTCCCAAATAGCAGCGAGAGTACCCCGTTCGAGGGTAGGGGTGGATCAAAAGGCCCTTGGCATGGGATGACCATTGGGGACAAGGCACTAAACGAATGGTATGTCCCCTATGGGAAAAGTTACCCATCGTCATTTGGACCAACGGATCATTGATCAACCCATCTGCAGGTGCTTCTGAGGGTGTCCTGTTGCGGCTGGGTTCAGAGGGAAAGACAACCGATTATGGGTGCTCTTAAGTGAAATGGACCTCAATGAATCAATGGGTGTCTGTTTGTTGAGGGTACCAATTCTCCAGGCTGCTCAAAGGGAAACACCATTTTGGTGGATCCCCCCCAAAAAAAAGACGCACCCAAACAGCTCTAGGGCTCAAAAGGGGACACGTGAAGATTCGCAACAAAATGGGTGTGCTTCAAACAAATTGGGGAAACACGAAAGGGGGTTGCTTTTCGGGGACACAGCAACACCCCACAATGAATTGGCGTGGCTCCCAATAAATGGTTGCAGCTCCAAAAAATGGGGGAGGGGGACTCTGTCTCCAGCAATGAGTTGCCTGAGGATGAAGAAAGGAAAGAGTGGGAGAGAAGGGAATAGAGAGTTGGACCAACTGTCACGCATCTGTCTCTCTATTCCACCTCTCATCTCTTCTCTCATCTTCCTTCTCTTTTCCGTTTTATGATCTACTCTATAAAAACGACGAGGAAGGAAGAATTATCTCTTCTCCTTATTTGCCCTCTGTATCTGTCTGCCCTTCTGGGATTGAAACTTTACGAATCACAAACTTGTTGAGATTCAACCAGGCCCTCCGAATGACTGCGACCCCAAAGGTGAAGCCGCTTCCAACAAAAAAAGGCTCGCCCGTTTTCTTGGGGGAATGCGCCTTCGCCAAATCCCCGCCTTCGCCCCCAACCCCCCAACCCCCCCCCCCCTCCCCCACTCCCCGCATCGAGGCTCACGGCACGAAGCTCCCGCCTTGACGCCCCGCGCGGCCAGCTGCTGCACCTTCTCCGCCACGGAGCCCTTGAGCTTCACCTCGAGCGGCTTTCTCCGCTTCCTTGGAAGCCAAAGGAGAAGACCCGTTAAGGGGCCCCAAACAACTGGGTGCGGCAAATTGGCCAAGTGGGAAGCACGCAAAAGTGTGGGGTTTTAGGGGGAGGTGGTGCTCCTTGCAGCATGATCTCTCTTGATTCACCACCAACAGGGGCGGGGGGGACAGTAGGGCAAGTGCGATGTTGACCCAGGATTAATAAACCCCTCTCATTATTAGGGGGGTGTTCCCTCTAAAAGTGAGATGAATCCCCACTAAAAGGGGACACCCCCCTATTAATCAACCTGGGGTTTATTAATCCGGGGTTAACATTAACCCGCCCTATGGGAATTACAACCGCTGTGATATCAATAGACGCATCCTTCCAATTCGGTGTTCATAGGCAGGTTCCCGGCCCACATTCCCCTACTAAACCTCTGGAACTCCCGCGATACGGTGTCAGGGATGCTCATTGCAAAAACCAAACAAAAAAAAAGGCGCAAGGAGGTGGAAGTCGGGACGTGGGGAAACGCGGATTTGCCGAAAGCCTCGGTTGCTTCATTGGAGGGGGGGCAACAAATGTAAGAAGCAATCCAGATCACTTCAAAGGTCCCCCCCCCCGAATCCGCCAACCCTCCCCTCCCCGAATCCACCACGTTGATATATATATATATATGTATAATATATATATATATATATATTGTATTATAAAACTAGAGGACGAGTGGCCCGGAAGCATGGAGGCAAGTTAGTTGTTAGCGATCAAGTAGTCTAGTCGCGACAAGCTGCACACAGACAGATTCCGCTTTTTGTCAGTAGCTCGAATATGGTACTAAAAGTTGAGGAATTTCATGCACTTCTCAGTGCAGGTTCTCCCTGCTCATCGCGATCTTGCCCACCATCATGTCGCGCGTGTAGATCGAGTGGCTCGGCATGTGGATCTCGATGATGCATACCATGCTTCGGGCGGCTCCAACATGAACAAACAGGCAGCAAGCAAACTACCGCGATGTTGATTAGCGCTAGCTTGAACCAACCACCAGGCGCGTGGTGCGGAAGGCGAGGCGGGGGAGAACCAACACCTGAGGCACCGTGGAGAAACCACCACCACCTGGGCGAAGCGAAACTGGAGCGAAGCTCCTGGACATGCAGGCAACTTACAAAGCGAGGTCTCAATGCAAATGCAGAAGTGTGGCACGGAGGTTGTTCAATCTGCTGATGTTGTCCGGCTTCACTCGGCTTCCCTTGGCTTCCCTCGGCTTCACTCAAGTGCAACAGCGCTCAATGAGCACACATGCTCAAGCATGTCATGTAGGTTGTTCAATCTGCTGGTGTTGTCCGGCTTCACTCGGCTTCCCTTGGCTTCACTCGAGTGCAACAGCGTGCAGGCAGCACATGCCCAGGTGCTTGAGAGCCCCGCCGCGCGTCAAGCCGGAACATAGGAACTGCTCCGCAGCTAACTCTACGCGGCAAAGGGCGAGAATTGCTCCGCGCCAGCTTGAACCAACCACCAGGCGCGTGGCGCGGAAGGCGAGGCGGGGGAGAACCAACACCTGAGGCACCGTGGAGAAACCACCACCACCTGGGCGGAGCGAGACCGGAGCGCAGGAAACTTACATAACGAGGTCTCAATGCAAACGCACAAGCGTGTCATGTAGGTTGCTCAATCTGCTGATGTTGTCCGGCTTCACTCGGCTTCCCTTGGCTTCCCTCGGCTTCACTCAAGTGCAACAGCGTGCAAGCAGCACAAATGCTCAAGCGTGTCATGTAGGTTGTTCAATCTGCTGATGTTGTCCGGCTTCACTCGGCTTCCCTCGGCTCCACTCAAGTGCAACATCGTGCAACGAGCACAAATGCTCAAGCTGCTGATGTGAGTTGTTCAATCTGCTGATGTTGTCCGGCTTCACTCGGCTTCCCTCGAAGAGCAAAACGTGGAGTCAGTGCAAGCGCTCAAGCGTGTCACGCAGGTTGCTCAATGTGCTGATGTTGTCTGGCAGCTTCTCTTACCAACTTTTCGAGAAGTACTTCGCCTGTCGCCTATGTTGCTTCCGGGCCACTCGTCTGCATGCTGCGCGCCAAGGTGTGCGTGGCACGGTGCGTGACGCTGCGCGCGATGCTGCGCATGCTGTGGCATATGATGCTGCGCGTGAGGCTGCGCGTGGCGGACTTTGACTCGAGCGTGCGTCGCGCCGGAGTTTTCCGCCTGCGCACAAGCAAGAAGCAAAAGCCTAGAGCGCTCGTGACTCGCTCGCATTGTTGTTGCTCGTCGCGTGCGAGGCGGGTGTCACGCACTTGCAGACAGTCTGCCACTGAGACAACAGAGCTTCGAAAACATTCGCCTGCTCGTTGCACTCAGCAACAAGCCGTGCATCACTACCTGCGCGCTCAGTCTCTACTCACTCACGAGGTAATTATGCTGACCGGAGGAGTCACAAAGATCACGCAGCTGCGGGAATGTGCTCCGCGTACTATGTTTGTACTTAAAAGTTGCGATTTTCCAGCCGGAGCTGCGGGAGCACGCTCCGCATACTACGTCTGTACTTAAAAGTTGCGATTTGCCAGCCGGAGCTGCAGGAGCACGCTCCGCGTACTACGTCTGTACTTAAAAGTTGCGATTTGCCAGCCGGAGCTGCAGGAGCACGCTCCGCGTACTACGTTTGTACTTAAAAGCTGCGATTTTCAAGCCGGAGCTGCCGCGGACCAGGGGGGAATCGAACCCGAGACCGCGGGATTGCGAAAGCAGGCGCGCAAACCACGAGACAACTTCCAAAGGCCGTTTCGCGAGCAAGAAAATCGCACGGCGCCACAGCGAGAGCGCTTCGACACGCACGATCTCCGCAGAGGGTTCATCGGGCTCAAGACAGATGCGCACGGCGCCACAGCGAGAGCGATCCGACACGCACGATCTCCGCAGAGGGCTCGCCGCGACCAAGACAAATTCGCACGGCGCCACAGCGAGAGCGCTTCGACGCGCAGGATCTCCGCAGAGGGTTCGCCAAGGTCAAGACAAATTCGCACGGCGCCACAGCGAGAGCGCTTCGACACGCAGGATCTCCGCAGAGGGTTCGCCGCGACCAAGACAGATTCGCGCGGCGCCACAGCGAGAGCGCTTCGACACGCACGATCTCCGCAGAGGGTTCGCCAAGGTCAAGACAAATTCGCACGGCGCCACAGCGAGAGCGCTTCGACACGCACGATCTCCGCAGAGGGTTCGCCAAGGTCAAGACAAATTCGCACGGCGCCACAGCGAGAGCGCTTCGACACGCACGATCTCCGCAGAGGGTTCGCCGCGCTCAAGACAAATTCGCACGGCGCCACAGCGAGAGCGCTTCGACACGCACGATCTCCGCAGAGGGTTCATCGGGCTCAAGACAAATTCGCACGGGGCCACAGCGAGAGCGCTTCGACACGCACGATCTCCGCAGAGGGGTGCGTTTCGTAAGCTCCCGTCGGGCCTACCCCCGCCATAAAAAGAAGAAGAATTAAGAGTCGAGAAGTGAAGGTAGAACAGAAAAGTTAGCTTGTGTTTTTAGGATAGTGAAGTAACACCCGACAAATTAGCTTGTGCTTTTAGTAGAATGAGATAACAGCCGAAAAGTTGACATGAGAAGTAGGCAGGTGAAGTAACTCTCGACAAGTTGGCATGAGAAGTTAGCAGGTGAAGTAACTCTCGACAAGTTGGCATGAGAAGTTGGCAGGTGAAGTAACTCTCGACAAGTTGGCATGAGAAGTTGGCAGGTGAAGTAACTCTCGACAAGTTGGCATGAGAAGTTGGCAGGTGAAGTTGGCAGCCGCTTTTAGAAGAAGAACCCTTCGCAATGCTTCCGGGAAAAAGAAAGAAACTGGGGTCGACATGTTTAGGCCTCCAGGGCCTCAAGGCTCGACCCAGGCGCAACTCTCAGGCCGTTTTTGGCCGTTTTGGGCGGCGCAAACCGAGCCATGGGGAGGCGGGGTCAACGCAGAAAGCTCATGGCGAGCTGTTGGAACCGAGTCCCACAGAGGTTGCTCTTGTGGGGAAAGCACACACACACACTTCTCGGGGTTGATTCCTTTTTCAGAGCTAAAGGGAACCACCCTTCAACCAAAAGGAACCTGGCTGGTTACCAAGCGGTGCAAATTTTCTTTCCAAACGGCGTTCTTTTCAATACCCAGCCTGCTTCCCCTGTTGCTTGGTTTTCCGCCCAAACCTCCGCGAGTCCTTTGACGAACTGGCCATAAGCCCTCGGCTTAGCTTGGCCAAAAGACGGCACTTCGCTTCTAAGGGTCGCTTCCACCATTTCCAACCATCGGGTTTAGTCTTTTCGAACACCGGATCCGTTTCCCTGGGGTTTCCGGAGGTCATTTCGAAAGATTCGGATCCCTGGAAAGAATGGAATTGGAAGGCGGCACTAGACTGGCCTCGCTATTTTACCCTGATCAAAGTCAGCCCCTAAGTGGTGGGTTAAAGGGAAACAACCCCATTTTTTGACTTTGATAACTCCCAGAAACCATCAAAATCATGACCCCAGCTAGAGCGTTGCGGGTTTTCATTGTGAGTCGTGCCGCAAGTTCAACCCTCCCCAACGGTAGGTTTCGCACTGGATAGGTTGACACACTCCCACAGCTCGCGCTTCAACCGTCGGTCATGGGCCTGGACCGGGTCGGTCTTTGAACATATGCCGGAAAGTGGGAAGACAGTCAGGCTGTTTCGGTCAAACTGTTCAACTTGGTGCAGGTAGGTTTTCTGCAAAAAAGGATCTGCGGAAAGAATGGGGAATTACCTTGAATCATCGTATGGACCGTCAAAAATAGGTACCCCAACTGGAACCCTGGTAAATGAAAACAAGGACTAAGACCTGCGCTCCTGTGGTGGTTTGATTTTGACCCATACCCATATCCAATAATAAACTTATGCTTGACGAGGATCTTTGTTTGGACTGCCTCCCAAGCGAACCAGGGTCAAGATGTGCGATTCCCTTTAGGACATGGAACACTTCATGAGTGCCTGTCTTTTTGTGCAGAGAAACCGCGCAAGTCCCCGAGAATTGACTGTCGACCACTGGGATTTGTTGGGCAAACCCCAAGGCCAAGCTTCCAGAACCAAAAGGCAGCCAAGCTCGGCTCTCAGATCCCGGGAAGGGCGATTGACCCACTGAGTCCAACTGGTTTCCGGAAGTCCCCCAGAGCCGGGCCCCAGCGATGATTCCCCCCCGAATTTGCAGGGCTCCCGTCCGGCCTTGGCAGTCTGCACCTGAAACCAGGAGCTTTGAGCGGCAATGCGCAGTCTTCGTCAATGCTCCGTCTCTGGACAACGTTTCACACCAGCAGTCCTGGAGATTTTTGCGTCTGCGGCTCTCCAAGGGTATGTCTCTTTTTTGGGGCTGCCCCCACGTTTGGGAACCCACCCAAAACGTGGGGCCCAACCAAATTAGGACCACGCCCAGAAGTCGTGGTCTGTATTGGCAGGTGAGATGAACCCCGAGTGCCTCTGGCGCTACATTTCGCGACTGGGGACCCGAAGGCTCGTTTTGAATGCCGGCCCTTGGGCTGCCACGACCCCGCCCGTCGGGTTCGCAACTCAAACCTGAAATCCCCGAGTTGGCTTTGGCTTTGGCTCACCCGCAAGCGCAGTTTGAGAGGTTCCACCTCTTTCGAGTGCCCAACTGGTTTCTCTTGGGGCTGGAGAAGCCCAAAAATGCATCGACGTTTGGTTCCACCAGGCTACATGGGCTTGCCTCTTCTGCAAATGGGGGGGGGGCAAGGTTGCACTCCCGCAAGCAAAGTGCACGGGGTTGGGAGGGAAAGCCACCGAAAGACCGGTAGGAACATAACATGCTCTGATTGTACCTTGGAACTGAGCTGACTGGCCGTAATTGGGTAACCTCTCCCGGCATCGCTTCAGGTTGAGCACAATGGCGTTGCTTCATGGGAACATGTCATTCCTTTCCATAACCTTATCATTCTTTTCAACCAGTCCCCTCTGAAAGGAGTGGCGAGGGCTCTCCGTCGTGGACTTTGCCAGGCCGGTAAGGGGTAGAGGATTCTTTTTCGTCCTAGAGATGATGTCTACTCTGCTTTGCCTCAAAATCCAAGACGCCCCAAAACGATTGGGGTCCTGCTTCCTTTGAAATCGAACCAAACCAGGGCACCCTCAAAGACCACAGAGCCTGAATGTCCTTTTCTGGACTCTACCCGTTTTTGGACTAGTTTAAAGAGAAACCAACGAGGACAGCCCGCCAATCTTGGGAAAGAGAATCATCCAAGACAAAAGCCATGTCCAGTGACTCAGTGACTGAGCCGGTCCATTTCGATGCAGCATGGCTTGCGAGTTCTCAGAAGGGAATCAAGGAATGACAGGCGGTCCAACCCAGGCCTTGCGCTCCTTTGGCTGCGGCTCCGACTCCCAGTCCTCGGAGGCGGCGTTCGCTTGCCGCCCGCGGGAAGTGTGGCTTTCTCTTCTTCTTCTTCTTCTCCTTCTTCTTCTGTTTTTTGGGGGGACGTGTTTCTTCTTCTTCTTCTGCTTCTTCTTCTTCTTCTTCTGTTTTTTGGGGGGACGTTTTTCTTCTTCTTCTGCTTATTCTTCTTCTTTCTTGATTTTGCATGTGTGTGTGTGTTTTTTGTTTGAGGGGGGCGTTTTTTGTTTCGTTGGGTTCCGTGCCGGAGGCTTGCCAACACTTGGACCTCAAAAAGGGGCACACAGCAAATCAGATGTTCTGCATTTGTTTAATCTTTTGTCTACCCTTCAACATATGAAATAAGTATGGAGGACACCCCAATTTGGTGGTTTCTGCTTTGCGTTTTCTTTGGTCTTCTTTCGTTGGTCGTGGCTTTCCCGTGAAAGAAACATGGTCCCGTGGTTTCGTGTGGCTTTCCCCTTTCTGGCCACGTTTTCTTTGCTTCCCCATGGTCATAGCCTGGTTGACAAGAGAGAACACAACATTTCAAGGGAGTAACCATGAGCATCTTGATGTCCTTTGCCAAGGTTTGGCTCCCCAACTTTGCCGTCTGCTGCCTAAATGAGTCCAAACCCAAGACTTAGTACAGGGTGAAAGCAAGATGGTACAATTCCCTTTATGTGGGTAAGTAGGGCAAGTAAAGGGGATGACTAAATCAACATGGCAGAATTGCGCCATCTACTTTCACTCACTCAACTGTAAGACCCCCCAAAGGATCTTTCACGGGTGAGCTCGCTCTACCCAGAGGTGGCCTCGCTACAGGAGTTGCACAGACCCATGAACGATGTGTTTCTTCTAGCTGGCACCGAAGGGTTGAATAATGCTTTGTGTTGGTCAACTGACATTAACACATACAAATGGACATTCGACCGGAACAAGCTTGAAAGAAGCAATGCGAAACAAAAACTGCACGCCGCTTGATTTAGCTCAGAGTCTACTGGACAAAAAAACAACCCGAACAACTCGGACGACCTTAGAGGCTTCTCGGAATCAGCGAAACTGGCACCAAAACCTCATGTGTGGTGATCATGTCTAGACAGAAATTGGTATCTGCTAAAACTGGGCAAGCCCCTTATTGACTGATTCTGACATGAAATCAAACTGCAGTGAAACACTTCCGTGTGAAATGTCCCAAGTGTTCACGCATTGACTCCCATCTGTGTGTTGAAACAAATTGAAATGTCTTCAGGCAGCCCAAATGAGAAAGGGATTCCCCTGCATCTAGAAGCAACCACGGCTATGAAGTTGAACAGGGAACTCCTCAAAAACTGCAGCTGGACAAAAACTCCGAAGGGGTCCCAACTAAAATTCACACCCAAGGTGGGAGAGATCCACGACATCCGCCTCCAAGCTTCTCACTGATCTGTCTTGTACTCTGCGCCACACTCCAGATGAAGGAGAAGAAGGGAATTGTCGTGAACTCTTGCGCCAAAATGGCTACCGAGCCGCTTGTACGAGCACGATGAAGGCGCATCGTGCTACATGGAAGGCGCCACAGGCCCAGCAGGATTCCAAGTGAGCAGCTGCTAATTCCCGAAGGAGCAAGGCCACAGCTACCTTTCTTTTGCAAGAGGAAAGCGGAAACAAGTGAGCCGGGCAGTGAGAATCTACAGCTTGCCCACATGAACCCTAGAACAAAGATAAAAGCTAGAAGCTCCACCAAAGATCCACTTTTGGGTGGTTTTCAGCTTCCGGATTTCCCCCCCCAACTGAGCCATCCAACGCATCCAACTGGCTTAGGGGATCCCGACAGGCGGGATTAACCCTCGGCTCCCGGGCGTGCAGCGGCTCCGGCGCCTCGCTTTTGAAGCGCGAGGAAGACGTCTCCGTTCGACCGGGTCCAAAAGGTTCACACGGGCGTCTACTTGGCTGGCGCCCAAAATGGGTTGCCCTGGTAAATGGAAACAAGGACTAAAACCTGCGGTCCAATTACTGGTGGATTAATTTCGACCCATACCCAGTACCTTCCAATTCCATTCTTTCCAGGGATCCGGATCTTTTCAGGAAACCATCAACAACCCAGGGGAAGCAGCCGGTTTTTGAAAAGAACGATGGTTGAAAAGAATGGGGAATCCACCCCTAGAGGTCTGGGACGAATCGCCCAACGGTAGGTAAACCTGGCAGGGGACTTACAACCACGGGCAAATGAACCTCTCCGGAGTATTCTCCTTTGTCTTCTAACGCCCAGGTTAGCAAACGGGGCCCAAATGATTAGAATCGGGTTGAGAATCTTGACACCCGTACCCCTTTTCGGGAAAAGCAAAAGGAACCGAAACCCATGTTGGGGGTCCAGTCCCTCTTGGTTTCCATACCCATTGCTGCCACACGCCCGGAGCGGCTGTCTTCAGTTGGCATACAGGCTTCATGGATCCCCACTTGAAAAAACTTGCCGTGGGCCCCAGGGAAAAAGGCCACATGAGCGGTCGACACCACTACGGATCCTTGCGAAGTTCCCGAGAGTCGGCTCCACTTCAGAAACCCAACCGGTGGTTTCGAACGAGAACCAAATACCAACAGATGTGATGGGCTCCCCAACGTAAATACTGAGAACATCTGCTTTCAACCGCATGGACTTCGCAAAGCGGCGCGGCATGGACTTCGCAACCATCCACGGTATGAAAGGCGATTGCCATCGACCCCTTTAACGGGAACCCAAATAGGTCAGCTTGTGACCACTGGGCCCGAAAGGCCCCGTCAAAGCAAAAACCTTGGGCTGGTAAAGTGAAACAAAGGCCCAATTCAAACTTGCCTTCGCCCAACCCAGCCAAACGACCTGGGGTGCAGAGGGGGGGGGTTACTTGGATGTTCAACCTAGTGGTTGGCTTTGGGACACCAGGGGTTGCTTAACTTACCGTGACAATAACCCACTGAGTGGCTTGAAAGCATCCAAGTGGACCCCATCCGACAGCGCCTCCGGCTTGGCGCGCTTCGCGTCGCCGCCTGCATGTTTGGCTTTTTGGGTGGCATTTGGGGTGACGCTTGAGGGGCCAAGGCGCCACATCCGCAAACCCGCCACGGCTATCCCAGAGAGCATGGCATGAAAGAAGCCCAAAAAACCTCCAGCCGAAGCCCGGTTTGTTGGAGCTGAGGCACCTTCATGAGCTCGTTTCATCGAGTGACCTCTTTTTCTAAGTCTTGCCAAAACTTCATGAACTCTCCTGGTAACATGGAACTCAAAAAGCCATCAAAGAGGAGACGCCCCTTTGTGCCTTTTGCTGGGCACGTGAGTTTGTACTTTGATGGTCTGGGACGAATCGCTCAACGGTAGGTAACCCTAGCTATAGGGGACTTACAACCACAGCTTTGCTACCCACTTAGCGATTCCCAGACCATCTCTCTGTAGGGAATGTGGTTGAATGAATCCAGGCGTTGGTCCCCTTAAAGGAACCCACCACTGGAAAGTATCCCCATGTCTCCCATGGACCCAGTGTCACCCAACTCTCCGCCCCGCTCCGCTCCCGCCTTTGGACTCCGAGGGCCGCTTCTGGCCGCCTGGGGACCCGTCGGGAGCAGGACACTTCGCAGTGGTGACCCTTTGGTGACCAGGTAGATGAGAAAAAAGGAACGCATTTCCGTCAGCTCTGGGTTGAAGAAAGCGAAATGAGCATGACAGTTCGCACTGGCAAACAAAAAAAGAACGGATTTCCGTCAGCTCTGAAGCTCCATCTGCAAGTTTGAGAATTCCCCCTCGAAATCTTGATGGCAGCTTCTGGCTTCCCAGATGACAAACACGCTGGGACTCCTTTGGCAGATGCCAGGGCAGTTCATGCGCCCCAGCAAAGTATTCTTCGCTCGGCGCCGGGCTGGAAAACTCTCAAATGGCCCAGGGGTTCTTCGGCGGAAAAAGCTCCCTTTACTTGGAAAAGCCCTACCATAGCAGGCGCGAAGATCTTCCGGAGCACAAAAAAAGTCTCGCGCAGGGGATATGGGAACAGTGGGGCCTGGTTTTCATGGCTGAGAAACTTAGGTGAATACTGTAAATGGACGAAACCCATTTCGCACCACTTTGAATCCAAGGAGAACCATTGTTTGTTTGTAGTTTACAGAAGGAAATCGCATCAGAAACCCACGAAGCGGCGGTGCGATGTCTGGAAGTTTCGCCACTGCCCTGCAGTAGGACTCGACTCGCACTTCTCTAAGCTGACAGAAGGACCAATTCGTGTGGGATCACATGGCCATGGGTCAAAAGCCAAATCGGTTACCCCGTGAACATCAACCAAAACCCACTAAAATAGGTTCTAAAATGGGTGAATTCGCCTACCAACCAAAAATGGGATCCCATTGGTTTTGACAGCCACATGAGTGCGCATAGTTGATGCGCAAATTTGCTGAGTGCTAGCACCCCTCCAAAACCCCGGTACTGCTCCAACCAGTGGGAGCTACTGCACGCAAGTAAGCACATGTAGCATGGCTGAGTATGGCCATATGTGTGTATATGCATACATAAAAATACATATGTATATATATATATATATATATATATGGTACCCCCCCCCCCCCATTGACTCTGATTTTTTTGGCTGCATGACTTTGAAAGCAATCTTGGAAGCAATCTTGGGTTGTCAGCCCAGGGGGGAATAAGGGAAATAAGGATCCTTATTCCCCTTATTCCCCTCAAACCCAAGAACCCAAGAACCCAAGATGCACAGGACTTTTGGAAGCAATCTTGGGTTGTCAGCCCAGGGGTGGAATAAGGGGAATAAGGATCCTTATTCCCCTTATTCCCCTCAAACCCAAGAACCCAAGAACCCAAGATGCACAGAGGACTTTTGGGAGCAATCTTGGGTTGGCAGCCCAAGAAAAAAGGAAGGGACATGAGGATGCTTATTCCCGTTCTTACCTTCAAACCCAAGATTGCTTCCAAAAGTCCTCTGTGCATCTTGGGTTCTTGGGTTCTTGGGTTTGAGAGGAATAAGGGGAATAAGGATCCTTATTCCACTTATTCCCGTTTCTACCTTCAAACCCAAGATTGCTCCCAAAAGTCCTCTGTGCATCTTGGGTTCTTGGGTTCTTGGGTTTGAGGGGAATAAGGGAATAAGGATCCTTATTCCCCTTATTCCCTTCCTCCGCTCAGACTTGGCCTTTGCATCTTGCCAAGAGAGTCGAAATTCTGCTATATTCAGCTCTCAGGCAGCTCAAGTCCTTATTGTCTGTCTCCTCCTTCTTTCTGCCATGGCTTCCTTTGACGTGGTTGGCAAGGTCAGGTTCTCCAATGGCGCAGCCGAGCTGCGAATCCAACCAGCGTCTAGCCCTGCTTCATCCCAAGCTTACAAAGTCGACAAGGAGAAGCCTCGGGTCACTCTAGATGAAGTTCTTGAACAACACGAACGCGGAGCAATCAAAATTCATGACAGCCGGCTTCCATTGGATCAACGCGCCTTGCGTTCCATGATGTACAACACACAGAAAACTCTGAACATCGAGCCCTTGGGCCACATGGGCAGGTGGACAGAGGAGTGTCACGAGAAGCTTCTACGTGACCTGCAAGCACCTAAGGGCCATGTTCGGGGACGCAAGCGTCGTGACCAGCTGGCCATCCTGGACGCAAACACCCAGGACCCGCTGCCAATCCAAGACGCCCCAGTCCAGCAAGAGCAGCAGTTGGCCGAGGACCACCAGGGGACCTCCGAAAAGGATGAGGGCATGTCCGAGGACCACCATGGGATCTCCGAAAAGGATGAGGGTGTGTTTGAGGACCAGCAGGGTGTCTCCAAAAAGGATGAGGGTGTTTCCGAGGACAACCATGGGATCTCCGAAAAGTATGAGGACGTGTCTGAGGACCAGCAGGGTGTTTCCAAAAAGGATGAGGGTGTTTCCGAGGACCACCATGGGATCTCCGAAAAGGATGAGGACGTGTCTGAGGACCAGCAGGTGATCTCCGAAAAGGATGCGGGCCTCTCCAGTCAAGAGCCACCCCACCAAGACCAAGACATGCCTGAGAATAATCAAGGTCACTCTGAGGACTCAGGCGACGACTCCTCCTCTTCAAGCTCGTCGTCTTCAGATTCATCTACGCCCACACGAGCTCACAATGAGAGTGTCTCCGCGCAACTCGAGCTCAAGGAGCTTGAGTTGCAAGAGGCTCACGCTCGCATTGAGATCTTGGAGGGTGACATTCAACAATATGAGTGCGAACTTGAAGAGCTTAGGGCACATTTGGCTGAGGAGCGTGCCTCAAAGAGGGCCAGGAAGTAGAAGCCTGTATAGCTGTCAAGCTGTATTCAGAATCTTCTGTAAGTAACATAGCCATCATTGGCAGACGGTACTATACATGTGCACATACTCTTGTCCGGATCTGCTCCTGTGAGAGGTGACAAAAAAGATGTCTGCTTTTGGTTGCCTTTTGATGTGGTAGCTTGCAGCAGGACATCATGGCTTGCACGAATGCATGACATTCCTGAGTTTGATATGTGAACCTGTTGCTTTCCAGCTTAGAGTTCCCAAGTAGTTGCCCCTAAGGCACACCATCTTCTTATTCCATGTCCAGCATGTTAGACGATGCCATGGCCCTACACTCCGGCAAAGAGTGGGTGTATGAGACCCACACCACCCCCAAAATGGCTTGGCACTCTCGTGGGGAAATTTCAGAACCCATCCTCTTGTCAGACTTCTTGGACAACTCATGTCGCAACTTGAACGAAGCGAAAGTGACCTCCATAGCCTTCGATGTCCACAAGAATGTGCCAGAATTTAGCGGTCTTGCTCAGATTGGGGAGCTTCTGTCACAAGGCAACATCGCAGATGTACCCTTTCCACTACGTCTTCAAGGGCCTCTTCCTCCCAAGGCAACCATGGGCGTCATCATCGAAAACCACCATGATGGAACAATGTCTCTGATCAAAATTCTGCACTTCGCCAACAAGATCACTGCTGCTGCCGCCCAGCGCCTGATCACAGGAGAGGGCTTCGTGCCTGTATGTGGGCGAGCCTGACAAAAAAGGCTCCTCTCCAAAGGGCTCAGTCTTCTCAGTGGGCACCTGATGACGAGGCGCTTAAGGAGGGCATCTTGTTCATCAATGCCAATGCACCAGAATGTGACTCGCAGAATGAACAGACCTATTGGATCCTATGTTCCATCAAGGAGGGCTCTGGCACACCAGTTTCTGGGTGGCCAGAAGCAAAGGTCAGATTCATGGCTCAAAACAAAAGCCGTGGCCTGGCCGGAGCGCAGCCTGAGACTGACTTTCCCCTCACCATGTTCAGCTTGAAGCCCTTCATGTCTGATGTTCTTTTGCCAATGGTTATGCCGATGTTGCTGACTTATGGCATCATGATGGTGGGCTTACCAGGCGTCGGCAAGACACCCTGTTTGATCACCCTTGCCATGGCAATTGGACGTTACCACGTCCGGCGTCTCTCTTTGACAGCCTCGCCGGGCTGGCGTCGAGCCAAATCTCTCGACAACTTCAGGCATCGAGTCCCCCAGGTACAAGAGGCCGTCTTTCTCGATGATCCTTCCAGGGACAAGATCGATCTAGCCGACATGAAATCGTTCCTTACTGCGGATGAAGACCAGACTTGCTCAGGCAGGTACAATGATGTCAGGCTGGTCAGAAATGGCATGAGGGCATATGCTTCCAACGACATCGGTGAGGGGGATGAGCCTGAGGACACCTACCGCAGTGACATCGAGCCCGACGAGTTCTTCAAGTTGCTCCGCAAAACATTTCCAGAGTCCAAGCAAGCAGACGTGCTGGCAGTGCTTAAGCGGACAATTGTCATGGTCTTCGGGCAGAATGGTCTCTACTTGCGCTTCCCGTCCCCCAACTATGGTGCCCTTGTCCATCGCATTGTGGCAGACGATGTTCACAAAGATCTCCTTGCCACCAAGGACAAGCCTGTGTATGCTGCGTACAAGCTGGGTGATATGGTGAAGGGAAGCTACTATGAGAGCGAGGTGGAGAAGGAGCAGAAGATCATCGATGAAGGCATGATGAAGCTACAGCAGGCAGGCCGAGCACAAGACTATGTGGAGAGATGCAACAAAGATCTCAAAGAAGCTCTCAAGCAGGTGGCACGCATCCCAGAGAGCTCCTTTGTGCCAACTTCTCAGTCTTCAGAGGACCCGCCTCTCCTGCCGCCGGTGCCTCTCAACATCGGCTGCAACGCGCCAAAGCGCTTGCGAGAGGGCGACTTCATCTACCCAGACTCCAAGCCGGACAAGCGCCTCCGGCACAAAACGAGCTTGCTCATCTCTTGCGGGGGAGGAGCAGCCTCATCTGTTGCCTCTGGTGATCCACAACCGCAAAATGCTGCAGACGAGGATGCAAGCCACTTTCTCCACGACTAGAGCGTGAACCTGCTTGAGTTCTGAGTGTTGGGCTATGCTGCGAGAATCTATACTCTTGCTTGGTGAGTAGTGGTTACTACTGCCATAAAATTCAAATTCAAAGATGAAAGCTGTGTGCCCGCGGAAAAAAATAAGCTCGCTGCAAGACTGCAATTGCAAGTGCAACCTTGATTGATTTCCGACTTGCCTTGCACTGTGTTGCCATTGAATCACCTAGGGCTCGTAGTTACTGCGATTGTGACATGGCAGCTCGACTCAACCCCGGGGTTGTGAGCAAGCGGGGGAAGCTCCGTCGTGTCCACAAGAGGCCAGCCACGAAGAAGAGCAAGGAGTATAACAAAGTGAAGTACGTGCGAGGTCACCGAGATGTACCAGCAGCTGGTGTTCGCATGGATCGAGCTAAGTGGAAGCGCAACCTCGCTGAGATCCTGGGTGCTAGCAACAGTGGGATTACCAAGATTTTGGAAAAGGACGGCATCCTTCCAAAATGGCACGGTAAGCGTTGCCCCCAATGCTGGAAAGGCACTCTTGCATCCAAGATGCATTGCGGCAGTGCAAAGTACCAATGCAACAACTATCATTGCAAACGTATTGTCAGCCCGCTGCACTTGCATCCCTTCTTCACTACTGGCCGTGGCCCTGGCTCTACTCCTTTGCAGATGCAGGCGGCAGTTCTCTTCATGATCCTCATTGGTGCTTCCCACACCCAGATCAGGTTGGCCTTGGGTGTGAATCACAAGCTCATTGAAAAAATGAGATCCAGCCTAGCGCATACCAGGCAGCTCTTTGTCGAGCAGGAGGAGAAGAAGATCTCCTTTGGTGGCAAGAAGCAGTGGCAGGATGTGGAAGCTGATGAGTGCGCCTTTGACAAAGCAGATATGACCAAGGACGTCGCGTACAAGGAGGCGGTCAAGGCAGGCAAGCCCATCCTGTGGGAGCAATGGAGTGGCATGATGGCCCGCGGCAAGCCATCTACACTCATCATGTCACGCCTTAGCCCAGCCTTGACGGTGCGGAGAGCTCCGGGGCCGGGGGCAATCCGCAAAATTGACTGGGCCCCGTTAGCCAAGAAGCACTTGCAGGGCCGCCATGTCATCCTGCATACGGACTCGGCAAAGTCCTACAAGGCCAAGGTGGATGGCGTGCACCATGACTCAGTTGTCCACTGCAAGAAGCTGATCACACTCAAGAATGGGAAAAAGAAATGGAGCTCCCCGCAATACGTGCGAGTGGTGACTCACAGGCTCCGGGATGGAACCCAGCTGAAGGTAAAAGCAGGCACCCAACACGTGGACAGGGCTTGGCGGTTTATTAAGGACCGGTTAAAATTGAACCAAAGGGTTCGAGCTGGGTCCAAAGCAATCAGGAGCCGCATTCGTTCAGCCCAGTATGAGTACTGGATGCGGGGCCAAGATCTCTGGATCAAAACTGGAGATCTGGTGAAGGATGCAATGGCTCCTTTTGTACAGAAATAGGGAGAGTTTTCTGCAGCAGAAAACAAAAAAGCGCGAAGTGCGTCTCACTGCCTGCTTTCCAAGTAAAGTTCCACTGAATGAAGCTCTCACTGCACCAAAAAAAACACACACATAAATCTTCTGCTGTCACCTGTCAATCAAACACAAGCAAATCATCTGCTACCATCTGTCAGTCAAGCACTCACTGCACCAAAAAAAACAGAGTCGTTGAGGGGGGGGGGGGTAGCATATATATATATATACATATGTACGCACATTTGTAAGTGCTTCAGTCAGCAGTCATGAGTAGCGTGGCAAAGCGTACATCTACGCTTTGCACGATTTTTATTTGTGGGCCATTCCAATCACTATTTAATCGGCCCAACTCTGTCCACCGAAAATCGGATTTCCGATCCATGAGTCTATCCCAAGGAAAAAGCTCCACACCCAGACTTGCAAGTATCTGCCTCACCTCCAAATGGGGAACCGGCAAAATGGCTCTCCAAACTTGCAAGCTTCAGCATCTTAGCAGTTGTCAGTTTAGTTTCACTTGGCCCCGGGGCTACTGTGGCCATTTTAAATGATTCTCAGCTGATAAATGGATCTGCTTGCAAAACAGAAAGGTCGTCACTTGCAACCTGCGAATTTAAAGAAATATCAAGGTCCGCAAAATGCCACACATGACTATCTTATGATCTAAATTTGGTTTTACAGAATCCCACAAACCCAAACGGATTTTTTGGGCCCGTATAGTAAGCAGCGGTTGCTTTGCCAAGTTTCCAAACACCTGAAATCGACGGCGTGTACTTTCCAGATCAACTGGTATGGTTTTGTACTCGCTAGGAAAAGAAAAAGAACGGTCCGCACACCAGATTACAGGAGTGTTTCCTAGGATCAAACTCGCCATCTACAAAGAGAGTCCCCGTGTTAGGACACACCCACACCGACTGCAAGTTGAGAGGTGGTTGGCTCGAGGGGGTCCAACCCTCCAAGAAGTCCAGGTTCTTTAAAGTCAGAATTGAACATTAACACCACTGAAGTTAGCATACAAAAACAACAGACATGCCACACATTTCATGCACTTCCAGCCCATCATTTGGGGGACAGGTAAACATAGACTATCCAGTGACTGTCTTGCGACGCGACTTTCCACTCGCTCGTGTGCGGGTCAGTGAAGGCCAATTAGAGTTGTTGGAAACCAGTTGGCTGATCAGGGATCCCCTAAACTAGGCTGGAATTAGGACCCCAGCAAATATATATGTTTTTGCCTGGTTAGTGGAAAACAAAGAAGACCCCAAAAACGCAAAAAAGGAAAAGGGGGAGCTATTTCTGGGGAAGTAAAGAGGTTGGTCCCAAATCCCATTCTGATCCCGTTCTCAAAACCAGGAACCTCTTTGGGTTCACCTGCAAAGGAACTGGCAATGGAAGGTACACATGTGTTGTTGTTTGTTGAGGAGGGCCATGGCTGAAAAGGAGTCTGAGAGGTTAAAATATTGATCTTCTTTGGGGAGCTTAGATTGTTAAGACTACATGAGGGCGTGACTGGCAGCCGATGTCCAAAATGCCCTCCAGAGAAAAGGGACTTTCCACAGCTGCCGACAAATGGGACCATCTTTGTCAGCAAATTCGCCGAGCAGAGGCAGAGGGCAAAGCACCCCTTCCGGATGAACAGGGTTCCCTTGAAGTGGGAAAATGTGAAATTGACATTTCTTTGCAAGAGGCATGTTTGAGGGATATATGTACGGAAGTGTGGGGCACCTGTGTTCGTGCGTGTTTGTGGTTCTGTATGTTGTCTCTGTGTTTGTGTGTGTGTGTGTCAAAACTAGTGACTCTCTTTTGGAATGGTTTTGATGGAGAGACTGCCATGACAGCCCTCATGTTACAGGGTCCTACTTTTGACACAGACCCTCGCTATGAACCAGCATCGATGCTAAACCCAGAACAAAGAAACATCTTAATCACCCACCAATTAACATGGAACCTGACAGCAGTCTCTTTAAAACAAAAATTGTCTTCCAAGACCCCCCTGCCAGGTTCCATGTTGATTGGTGGGCGGGTGGATTCATGGGGGGGGTGGGGTGGCTGCCCCAAACGTGATCCGAATTGCGAACCTCTTAAATGGTTTGCCCCCGCATTTCGCTCCTAAGCAAGAATGGGGTGCTCAATCTGGGTTCCCAGTTTGGGTGAACGCAATGATTTAAACCAACCTGCCATAGGGCTTGAGAAGGTGGCAGAACCTCATCCAATGCGAAATGTTTTTCTTGTTCCCAAAACACGGGATCGGGGGCAAATGTTCGCAGGGCCCATTATTCTGTTGAAGGCATGATATCCAATATTCCGAAGAATCCCTGTTGATGTCTGGGCGGCGTGTCCTTTCTACCTTTCTTGGTGGTTCTAAAGGGAAAGCCAGAAAAAAAACCTCCAAGATTTGGGGTCTGAAAATTGACCCACCCACCGGGCAAAAATGTCGGCCTGGTTTCGGGTTTCGGCTGTCGTTTTAGCGAAGAACCCCTTGGGACCTCCGGCCTGGCGGCGCCCAGTTCTGGGCCCAGCCGGCGTCCACCCGTCGATCCCGCCCTGGCAACCCTTCGGCACTTGACGTTGGGCTTGGGGAGCAAAAAAATATATTTTTTAGCAGTTAAGTGGTTGGATTTCCACCACTACACCACAAAAAAAAAAAAAACTTAGCAGTTCAGTGGTGGGATTTTTTTCAACCACTACACCACAAGAAGCAAAAATGTAAAAGGTGTCCCAACGACGACCAAGGGCAACCCTGGCCTCCGGAACCTCGGGGAGGGGGGGGGCAAAACGGGATTCGTTTTGGCCCGCTGGAAACGAACAGAACCAGAAGCGAACGGGTCGCTGATGTGAGCCACGACTAGGAAATATGGGGCGGTCTTTCGAAGAAACGTTAAACATATCCCGATGCTTTTTTTGTTTTGTTATTCTTATTGGTTTTAGGAGGGTCGAAAAGGAAGAACTAAAGGGAAACACCACTTTTGAGCAGCCTCCATTTGGAGACAAACCCTTGAATAATCATAAAACAGTATCATATGATAACGAGGCAATTTTGTTTGATAGCACCAACCCGATTCTAATTGTTTAGGTCCTTCCTTTTTCACGGGGGCTCCCTAGATTTCCTCTTTATACATCACCCCACCAAGAGGAAACATCACCACACATGGGTCAAAAAGGTGCTTAAAACTATCAAAGCGGGAAACATAGGGACTCCTGTTGCCTTTTTGCCCAGGACACGGGAAAGTTAGGGCCTGGCACATGGGAAACTCAGGGCTCATCCCCCCCCCCAAAAAAAAACTCCCACGATCGTGTAGATCTCGACCGAACCCGTGGGTATGTCAATATGTCCGGAAGGAACTCCTGTTCTAAGAAGGCGACCAAATTCCGCATGTTCGAGTGTCGTAGACCTATGTGGCCGAATCCCCGGCACACACCCTCCCAACATGCAACCTGATAAACGGAGGTCGCTGAGACCCATAATTTCATAAACCCTAAAGCGTAAAATAATGTCAGACAAGAGAGAGATCTGCCTCGTTTAGAAAAACAACTCAAATAGGGGGAGCAAGTGGAGGAAAGGACCTGCACAGTGAGCTGTTTTACCTCCAAAACCAGTGAGCGCGCAATCACATCGACAGAAAGATGTCGCTTCGCCTGCGACTTTTGGTTGGACTTGATGGCCTGCGCGTGAGCGCGATCCCCCATGTCGTCACAAGCAGTGGGCGATGCACTCGTGGATTGTCTGAACAACCGGTTTTCCATGTGGGTATGGGTCAAAATTAAACCATCAGAAAACAAAGAAGAAAAACAACAGCAGGTTTTGTCCTTGTTTCCATTCATCAGGGGCAACCCATTTTGGGGTGGCACGTTGATTTTCTGCGGATGGAGCAGACTCGATCGCATGCCCTGAAACCAACCAACAAAAACTTTGCTTCATTTCGCAAATCCCAGGAGATATAGGCTAGCTTTGGAAGAAGTTGAGGGGACCCTTTGGTGGGCATGGCGGGGATTGATGTCCAAAAATCCGGAACAAAGAAAGAAAGAAACAAAACACAAACACACACACACACAAACACACACACACACACACACACACACACACACACACACACACACACACACACACACACACACACACACACACACACACACACACACACACACACACACACACACACACACACACACACGCACGCACACACACACGCACACACACACACACACAACACAACACAACACAACACAACACAACACACAACACAACACCACACCACACCACACCACACCACACCACACCACACCACACACACACCACACCACACCACACCACACCACACCACACCACACCACACCACACCACACCACACCACACCACACCACACCACACCACACCACACCACACCACACCACACCACACCACACCACACCACACCACACCACACACACGCGCGCACACACACACACAGCCATCTCTGAGAGAACAATGGATAAACAAAAACTGGAAGCCGCCACTAGATCCATCATGAGAACAACATGTAGCGCATGCACCCGTGATTGGAGGTCTCGCAGCAAATTGATTGGATATGGCTTCTTTGGGAGAGTACCCTTTTGAACCAGTCACCTGACTAATTGCAAACGCCACCCCCAAAAAAGGCCAGTGGCGGGACTCTCTGTGGAGGATCCCACCAGGGTCCGCCCACCCTTGACAAAAGCAAAGGAGCCGATCCTTACCACCACCCCGCAGCCTCAGCGAGGCAACACATGTTGTCCGGAAATCTACAACGGCTCACAAATCCAAAATCGGAGCCCAAGCAATAAACGTTCATCCGGGATGAGGTATGGCCGGCCTGAGGCTTACTCAACCTCAAGAAAGCTTGCTTGGGCCTTCTTGTGGCCGGGGAAAAGGGCGTGCGCCCTGGTCCCATGTTGGCCCCACGAGATCTTTGCTCGCGCTTCTCGGAGAGATTCTCCGGCTGAGACCTGAGGTCTGGGATGAGGTGTGACCTGGGGAAACAGCAACCGCATGACGAAAACAAAACACAAACCTAAGACCAAAACGAAGGACTCAAAAACGAAGGACCAAAACATGAGAAACAAAAAACAAAACAAAAACTAAGACCAAAACGAAGGCCCCAAAAAAATTGAAGCAAGCAACAAAAGCCTAGGACAAGCACGACATAAGCCAATCAACAAGTCGACACAATACACCCATCGAGAACCGAGATCAACGGCAACCAACATAAATATACCACCCCATCCCAAGCCTGCTTGTCTGGCAGACAATTCTGGTCTGGGCTGGGCTCGAAAGCCTGCGGATCCTGCCGCAAAATTGGGTGATCTCATGTTCGGCGCACAATCATACTTGCCCTGTGGTTCCCCTCCGGGAGACATAGGAGACCCTTGCCTTGTTGCCCTCCTACCAACAGACACCCTTGCGTTGTTGCCCTCCTACCAACAAACATGCAAGTGCACAGAACCCCTTTCCACCTTCCAACAAGGGTTTGCGTACTTCCATATTTGTCTTTTCTAAGGGCACCCTTTTTGGGGTTGGCTTTTTTAGGGCGATTGAAGGGAAAGCACCTGCTAATTGTTGGATTCCCCTATTTTGAGACAAACACTTCTCAAGTTTGGGGTCAACATGATGGTGATCCCCCGAGTCTTTGGATCATCTTTGGCACTCAAGGGCAACCGATCCTGCCAAAAGTCTCACCATGGAACGAAAGGTTTCATCAGGCCCTCAGCCCCTGGGACACTCCAAAGCTAATGAACACCCCCTATGAATAAACCCCTGGTTGATTAATAAGGGGGTGTCCCCTTTTAGTGGGGATTCAGACCACTTTTGGATGAAACACCCCCCTAATAGTGGGACGGGTTTATTAATCCTGAGTCAACATTAGTCATATGAGTCATAATTAGCTACTTCTTTCTGCTAACAGCTCACTTCCGATCGAGTAGATGGCCCAAAAAGAGTACCCATACTTTTGTTCACCAAAATGGTCTTGACAAAAAGTGTATATTATCCAAGAACTCAGGACGCGAGACAGGAAGCCTGCCCCAGCAGCTGAGTTCTTTTCATTTTGGGCCCGATCCATCGAATTGCCGGGAGGGCATTTGGCAAAAGGCACCACTTCCGTCTGGTTGGAAACCCTTGTGACCGACTGGTTCCGATGGGCGCTACATCGCCTTGTGATGCCCATAAAGATAAAGACAAACACAAAGGAGGGCAATAGGAACACAGGATGAATATGTAAACCGTTGGCTATTTGGGGGTGTCTCATTTAGAGGAGATCCTTCAGACGGACTTCTTAACCCAGGGTTCCTACCAAAGCGACTTCCAGAAGTTGAAACATCTCCAGGAATGGTTTGGTTCAACAAAAACGCCATGTGCCGCCAAAGCATCTCGAGTAGACAGTTGGCTACACTGTCAAATATGGAACGGGAAAAACACCATGGACTTTGGACACCCTTGTTGGGCTCCACGTTGACCTGTACACAAAGGTACATGCAAACAACCAATGAAAGGGGCGAGTTCGGGAAACAACCCCGACGGACTAACCAACCAACCCACCCACCCACCCACCCACCCACCCACCCACCAACCAACCAACCAGCCAGCCAGCCAGCCAGCCAACCAACCAACCGACAAGTTCAAGAAAGTCCAAGCAATCCTATTTAGAAACCCCCCTGCCACTGGCAGGTCTGTCCAGCACGCGGTTCGATCGTTTTGGATTTCCGCACCTTTGCCGCCCTTCTCGCGATCTTGCCACACCCGTTGCCCTGCGGCACCAGGATTTGCGATTGGAACGTGCTCGCAGAAAATGAAGGACCCCATCAAGGCTGATTTCACTTTTGGAGGGGGTCTACACTTTCAGAAGGTGCTGCCATGCCATGTTGATAATGTGCTCAATCATGAACATGGTATCTCTTGTATTCCGGGCCCTAGGAGACCACAGAAAACTATGCAACAGCTATCCATGTTTGAGGGTGTTCAAGTCACAGGGACGATTCCGCTAAGGCGAACAAACAGGCAATGCCACGAGGTGCTGGGGTTGCTTCTTGACACCCTTTTTCGGTTAACAAACAAGGAGCCCAGTCTATACTTGGATGTTCAACCGAAGTAGATGTTAACCATGGTGAAATTTGGAAGCTTGTAGCTTCAGCTCGCCTATGCTGAGCACTTGACATTGTCATTCTCCCAGCCGGTGTCGAACACCGAGGTTGCTCTTCTTTGTTGCTTCTGGTTTTCTTGTTTGGTACAGGTTATTATGTGTGTTAGTTGTTTTTTGCCTATTTATATTATTATTATTTTTTTGGGGGGGGGCGGGGGCGGGGGCCGATCTGGCGATCTTGGCCGGTGACTGGGGACTTCAGGTCGCCCTGTTGTTTGGTTTCTCAAGGAAACCAAAAGGACAACCTAAGCCACTTTGGGCGGGTCCCCCAAACAAAGACACTCTCAAAGAATGGTTCCATACATGTTTGCCCCCTGAAGAGTGCGAAACTCTCTCCGGTGTGCGCGCGCGAAGAACGTCGCATCGCCAAACACCCTCGCAGAACTTTTCAGCCACCTCGTCGCCTCGTAGCGACAAGTTGCAAAAAGCGGAAAATGGCGTGGCCAGAGCCTGAAACGGGAAGACAACTTGCCCAGCCCATTCAGGCAGGTCGAAGCCACCACCTTGTCGATAAGAACACTCCTTTCCAACAACATTGTGATGGCTCCTCCAAACATCTATACCGAGAAATATTGTGAACAGATCGACTCAGCCACGGGTTGCAAATGCACAATCAAGCATGTGGCTCTTACCCGGATCCACTGTTTTGGTCATGCTTAATCCTGAGAACCCCACCCATTCCCTGCTCCGCCCGATGGGACATGTCCCCAAAAATTGCGGGCGCTACCATGCGCCAGTGACTTCCAGCACTTGCGCATGTGTCAAACCAGGTGGACCCAATCCAGATGGTTGGCAATGAAGCTGATGGCATCCATGCGAGGAACTTTATCCAGGTTCCTTCATCCTTCTTCAACAAAACACCCAACAAAACCCAGGCGCTCAACACTTGCCCAAGGCTCCAAAACCTCTCAAGGCCACAATCGACCCCAACACTCACCTGGAACCCCTAAGCAGGGGTCGTCCCCTCTACAAAGGAACGACTGACAAGTTTTATGACTTTATGTGAGCTCGGGGCGTTCATCTGGGGAATAGACCCCAAGTGTCCACCCCAAAAAACAACGGTTCCGCACGCTCCCCCAGCTCCCGGAAACAAAAAAAGCGCCTCGGAGCGGAAACTTCCCTCCCTTCGCTCCTTTCAAATGGCCTGGCAAGTTTGAATCTCCATGCTGATGGACAACATTATGCCGACCGGCACCAGCTTTCATGGGGATGGACAAAATCCGTTTCGCAGCAGTTGGCACCAGTTGGTAGGTAGTTTATCAGCCAGCATGGGCCTGATTCATCCTTCAACTGCTGCGAAACGGATTTTGTCCATCCCCATGAAAGCTTCTCAACCGGCAAAGCCCCTCTTGGCTGCTACTAAAAGGGGACGGCCAAAGGAAGCCGTCACCATTTTGGACCGGTAGTTGCTGTAGTTCCCCGCCCCCCCCCTTTCCCAGGAGAAGGACCGGGCATGAAAATTGGTGAGCACATGGTTGTTCGTCGCCATTAGTTGCCCTGGCCTGGAAAACAAGCAGGTGGGTAGGTTTCAGCAATTACCCTGGCAAATCTTACCGAGGGCCGAAATACTTAGAATGGAGTTATGGGCTACTCGCTTCCTGAGTGGATGGGCCACAAGAAGTCCAAACTTGTCTAGTTACCACCAAAATGGTCTTCCATGTCTTCCCAAAAAGCTTCAAGTCCAGGAACTCTGGGGGTGAGGCGAGTTTAGAATGAAATCAAGCGGTTCCGGGAGTAAACTACATGTGTTTGCTTGCCGTGGATTCTATCTATCGGGCCCCTGGCCGTCGGGCCAAGACTTCAAGCTTCGGGGGAGCGGGATGGTCTGGGACTGCCTGCCTAAGCCAACTTGGCCGAGAGGAAAACCGTCGTTCAAGCATTGAATAAAAGGCGCTGCCAACTCGAGCGGTTATTGTCCCTCTCTTAGGCGAGGCGAACGCGAAAAAGTCGACAAGTGGAAAAAATCGAAAGTCGAGAAGTCGACAAGTCGAAAAGTCAAACGCTTCTACTTTACTTTTCTCACTTATCTACTTCTCTCATTTTTCTCGCGTTTCTCACTTGTCTACGTTTCGCACTTTTCTCGTTTTTCTTACTTTTCTCACTTCTCTCACGTTTTCTCACTTTCTCACTTGTCTACGTTTCTCACTTGTCTACTTTTCTCCCTTTTCTCACTTTCCTGACTTTTCTCGTTCTTCGCAAGCTTCTACTTTCTTCAGCTTCTACTTTTCTACTTTAAAATTATTCTGCCACTGTTTGTACAGTTCTACTTGTTTGTTCTGCTTTCTACTTGTATCTCTACTTTTCTCGCTTTTCTAGTGTTGTTCTGACTTTTCTGCTTCTCTCACTTTTTCTGCCTTTCTCTTCGCCTTCGGTTAGACGCCGTTTGTTTAAGACTTTCTCAGGGCTAACCGTAGTTGCCAACGTGGACGCGCCGGGCCCATTGAGGGTCGGCCGTGTTTTTAGGGGTTTCCCGGTTTCTCCAACCCCAAACCAGGGAATGGCTCCCGTCTAGGCTCGACACACCCGGTGGCCAAGACGACTCCGACAAGTTGCGGCACCTCTGGAGGTTTCGGGCCACAGGGGCGGGGCCCTTTTCAAATTACCCTTTTCATTTCAAAAACAAAAACAAAAAACAAACAATATAGGTGCGACAGTGTTTGAGGGTACCCCTTTGCTGTGGTTTTCGGGAAGACAAAACCATCGTTTTGAGGTCCCCTGAAAAAGCAAACCCAAAGCCTTGGTACATGAACATGAACCTTCAGGGGGGTCTCCGAAAAGAGCTCTCCACGAAACCGAAGCACGCACCTCCTTTCGCTGGCGGTCGGATCCATGCGCCTACGGAGTCAAAGGGCGCGGACTGGGAACCTAAGATGAATCGAAGCCCTGGTCGGTCCCATAGCGGGATCCCTTCACCGGGGAAACCTTTTCAAGCTTGATGTGCTTCGTGGAATCGGCCTTGTAGTCAATGTCCCCCTTAGAATGATTGCTTCTCTGGGATATGAATCCTCCCCAGGGCTGAACTTCTTTTGTTGCCCCCCACAAAAGCAGCTCAGGTGATATCCCCAACCACCCCTGCGCCAGCCGAAAGGCCGTTGCTCGAATGCCTGAGCTCCCCTGAGCTCCCAAACCTCTGGGCGACTCCTTTTGGCTTTCAGCGGTTGAAAAAAAGGAGGAAGAGAACACAACAAAACTGAAAGAAGGTTTCTCTTCCTTTGGGTTGTTTGGGTTTCTCTTCCTTTTTGTTTGGTTGAACACAACAGGAACCCAAACAAAACCAAACTCGCATGCCAAGAACTGCGAACTTTGCGGGAGAATCTCCGCATCCCTTGAGGGCCCTGAGGATGAATTTCGACGTCAGGGCGCCCGGCCTCTGGCCACGGGCGGCGGCCTCGCGCAACGCGAAACACGGGGAAGAGGCCACTTCCCATGTGGATGCGGCCCAAAAAAGTCACCGGAACCTGTTGATTCACCACAGATGTTTGGTCCAAAGATGTCCAAGGACAAGAAGTGAGGGAACTCAGGAAGTGACCAAGAGGGGACTATGTTTGCCATCCCTGTTTTTGCTGCTAGCTTCCTTTGTCAAGTAATTTATCTGAAGCTATGAGTTCAACCTCTTCGTTCTATGCTGAAACGTGATTTCCGAAGCAAGTTCCCAGCACCGCGAAGGGTTCTGACTCAAAAAAAAGGAAGAAGAGCAACGACCTCAGTAAAAAGATCAACAGCCTCAGCATCACGGCCTCACTGCCTCAACAGCGACTTCAGCGCCTGTCCGCAATCAAATACACTCCCTCAGGCTAAAGAGATCAAGTCTTCAAACCGGGTGCTTGGGATTTTCCATTCTAGCCTGTTCGCCTGGAGGCTAAACCCATTCCACACCGTCGCGTCGCAGCCTCAATACTGTATCACTGCCTCAGTATCACTGGCAGTGATATAGTCGATTGCCCACTTCTAGAGTATCATTGCATCATGTGCCAAGACCCTTTATTGGATTCTTCCAACATAAAGATTGCCAACTGAACCGAAAGTGAAACCAAATGTTGATGGGCTCGTCCCATTTGCAGACAGATCCATAAACCCTGATTTGTTTATGTCGAATTAGGGGGGAAGCTCCCACCAGGTGGGAGCTAAACATGTGCCCAAAAGAGTACGAAGGGCCTGCTGCACATTTCCCCTGCGGTGTTCAACATCACTTTCTGGCCTGGCTACCTGTATAGAAAGCGGGGAGTTTCCTCCGGGCGCCTCTACTTCCAAGTCAGCTCGAAGCTTTGAGAGATGTGATCGAAGTGAACTTGGCGCCAGACCATGGCTACGCGCAAAACCCCAATAGAAGGTAAGCCCCAAATGTGCCGTGAGCCCCCCCTTGTCCCGAACCCCAAATGGACCATAGACCTTTCTTTTGTGGTACCCTAGAAAGGCATTGCGATTTCTCCGCTTTCCCAGGCCTGGGCGTGGGCCAGGTCTCACGCACCTGTCAAAGCTAAAACCCTCAGCTCTCACCATACATCCAATACTGACTTAGAGCCATAGACAAGGAAGCATGGAGCTCATGACTAATTGTCCCAATGGTCGCTAATGGTCCCCCCAGCCACCCCCCAAACAAAAACGAACAAGAAGAAGACGAAGAGTCCTTCACCGAGCAAGGAAAGTGCTTATCCCCAAAAAGAAGCTTTCGTCTGAAAGGAACCCGAAGAAATTCGTACTCGCCAAAGGAAACCTCCCAGTCCCCGCAGGGGTTCCTTCCGACAGACAAAGACGCATCACCTGCCCCACTTCTGAAAGCCAAAGGAAGGTTTGCCAAACAGAACACCTTGACAGAAAGAGTCATAACTATATATTTTGTTTAAAAAAAATGGAAAAATAAAAAAAAATATGGTGGGCCAACTCAGGGGCATCGAACTTGCGCAGCAAGTGTTGGCTTTTGGCTTCTTGGAGCAAAGCTGCCACCCCCCTTCCCAGAACCAGGAAGCAATCCTTCTGAACCAAACGGCTGCAAAGGCTGACAGGGCTGGAAAAGCTGAATCTCGAATTGCACCGTTTTAGGTGTGCAACGGGGTCCGAAGGATACGTCAAGCTCCTGCTTTACAAGGCAAACCTTTAAATCAGCTGGTCGGGCGATTTGTTCACTGGCTGATTTGTATTCAAGGCACCCTCTACAACCTCGATTTTTTAGGCTTCATGTAAAGCCTGAGGTTCAACCCAAAACTCTCGGTCTCTCTGAAGAACTGGATTAGAAAACATGTTTTTTGGGATTGGATGGTTTGGACGCCATCCACCTGGGTCACTCAGCCTGCCTCTGATTCTTGGGGGTCTCTAGATGAAATCTTGCTGGTCAATGCCTTTCAGCATGCAACAACCATGGGTCTAAGGGTACCTTCCCCATTCTTTCCAATCATCCTTCTTTCCAGAAAACCTCCGAAATCCCAGGGAAAGCGGCCGGTGGTTGAAAAGAACGAGGGTTGAAAAGAATGGAAGAGGACTCACCCCCTAGAATCAGACCTTTTGCTCCATTCCCCGAAAGCTTCGCCAACGGGTCGCGCCTGCGCCTGGACTCGTTGCTGAAAGGCCTCCCAGGCCTGCGGACCGCGGACGGACCGGAGCGCGGAGCGCGGCTTCGGGCCGAGGCCCAAGCCCAGTGGTCGTTGCCATGTACCAACCTATTTTGCTTGTTGTTGATTGATTATGTTTTTTGTTGTGTAAAAAAAGAATATATGTGCTTTGTTGTTGTTTGTGTAAAAAAAAAAATGAATAGGCCCAGAGTCTGGAGCGGTTGCTTGAGTTTGGCAGCAGCAACCGACAGAACGCGAACACTTTGTTGAAGAAAAATACTGGCTCACAATAGAAACAACCAAAGGGTTGTTCAACTAACAACGTGGACACCACAACAAAATCCAACCTCGAAATCAAGTAAAACAATTTCGCATGCAAACCATCCCGCTAGGCTTCGCCCCGAAAGAGCTGTGGTTTGCGCAGATTTGTGTGAGTACATATCATTTTGAAGGTAGCTCTTTTAAGTTGCCTTGAAGGGAAGCCAACAGGACAACCAACGTTTTGGGGGTTCCAACCCCTGCTTTGACACATCTCCGTTTGTTTTTCTTTGGATAAGCTGGTAATCTCCACGCCGCCCTCAGCCACAAACAGATCTTGGTACAAGCACATAAAGGTAAGGGCTCACATCTACTGACAAGCCTTCGAAAAGGGGCTTTGGGGCCGTGGTGTTCCCAATGTTCAAGTCACACTTTCTTCCAAAGGTATCACCAGACCCACAAGGACCAAGCACGGTTAGACAAGCCCTGAAAAACACATCGTTGCAAAACTCCTCCGCCCGATGCCACTCCCTCTCTTATTTTAAACCTGAGACGCCTCTGCAGTCGATGCTAGTGACTGGCAAGTCACGAAGAAAGAGGCACCCTGGCATGTGCCACGCAGGTTTATATAGCTGAATTGAGGCCTTGCACAGCGGGGGCGCCCCGGCGCCGTTCAAGTGACTCCCCGCTACCCCAATAGCCGTGTCAGAAGTGAGCTCTGTTGGGTTTGTAGTATGTCGTGTTGGTCAGGACCCGCCGTGTTTTGGAGGTGGTGCGATCTGGTGCGTGCGTGCGCGCATTGCTTGCGCACATCCTCACCAACACGACACCTTTTAGAAACAGGGCGCTCACGGAAAGCCGGTGCAGAACGCCGGGACGTGGCCTGCAACAGATGTCGTCGCACGTGCTTGACCCAGAAACTCTACGCTCCTGCGAACGGCTTGCGTCTTCCTTTCTGCTGCAATTTCGAAAGAGGCGTCCGCAGTTTTTGCTGCTTTGTTTGGGGCAATTGACACCTTGACAACCATGAGAGAAGAAAGCAAAGCGCTGACACAGCCCCGCCTTGTTCTTGTTCTTTTGCTTGTTGCCTTTGCCCTTGTCCTTGCCCTTGTCATGGCTCCTGTTCCCGGCCCAGTTGGCCTTCCAAGGCTCCTGCAGCTCGAGAGGCCACCTCCAAGGAAACAATGCGAGTTCGCCCTCGCTGTGAAAACCACCTATGTCTGGGCACAACTCCTCTGCCGGGACAAACCCCGCATTCGATCTTTCAACGAAAAAATTGGGGAAGCACGCAGGGCGCGGCACACTCCAGCAAGGGCTGACATCAGGGGCTAGAACGGTTTGCGCTCAAAAGCAAGAACGTTGAAGGAGCGTCTTTGGCCTATGGTTTGCTAGCAAGATCTGGGCTCTTTTCAGCCCTAGCCCGGAGAATCACACCTTGCGCTCATTCCAAGAGCTGGGAAGCTACCAGCCACCACCGTGGGTTCACTACACCCGCCTGCAATTCGAAATACACAAGCATAAAAGAACAATAGAATTTGAGTATGGAGGCAAACCTTGCATCCCTTTGGCGCCCAAATCCTTACTCCGAAGCTTCCGGTGGCCACGGAGGCATGATGTAGCGAGCGCAAACCGCACACATGAAGCACAACCTCCGCAGACACACCGAACCCGAGTCTCTCGCTGGCTCCTTGTGGAGATTTCGGGGCCCTGGCCAAGCGCTTGGATGGGCTGAAAATGGCCGGGTCCAAAAACTGGCTTCTGGTGAAGCGGTTAGAAGGAGGGGCTCTTGGAGCCATTCTTGAGCTGGGTCAGAAAGCTTCTGGCTTGCCTCACGGTCCCACAAATCAGATCCAAGCCAACCCCAAATCCATGTCCGCCCTAAATCAGCCCCAAACCACCACAAGACCCACCCATATGAAGATCTAAGTCCCTGACCTCCAGCAACTCCCAATCAGAGCGAATAGGCAACCCCTGGGCCAATTGACTGGATGCGGCAAGCCAACCAACCAACCAACCAACCAACCAACCAACCAACCAACCAACCAACCAACCAACCAACCATCCCTGTTCTATGCAAAAACAAAACGGCCCTAGGAAATAACATAAGGAAGCAGGATCCGTATCTTGGTAGCAAAAAAAAGTCCCAGGGCTGAATCCGCACGCAAAATCTGATGGAAGCATTCCAATGTCTCAACGACATGACGCAGTATTGGTAGGGAAGCTGTAACCGATGAATCGGCAATTTGTGCAGAAACCTAATTCTAAGCCGTGAGGCTCCTTATGGTACAGGTAAGGACTAGGATTGGAATTTGAGTGGCTAGAGGCTAGAATCGGCAATCTTGACGGGCCACACACAAAGCAATCAGGTGCGCAATGTCTCAAACACGTGGAAGGCCCCTTTTGCAAGGCCGGCCGGTCCTGCGGGCTTACTAAAAAACTACAAAATGCTGCGCCTGCCAGTGAATTGCATCTCCGAACCATCCCTTCACACCAGCGTCCAGCGCGGCTTACTTTTCGCCGTCCAGTGCAGCGTACTTTTCCAAGAAACACCACAATTTGCTGCGACTGCCAGTGAATTGCATGCGGCTTACTTTTCGCAGTGCGGCCCTTGCTTGCAAAGCATCCCAGCCGGGCGTCCCCGGCATGCCCAGCGCCCCAGCGTCCCCGCCATTTTGAGCCTCCCTAGCATCCCCAACGTCGCCATCCCCAGCGCCAGCGTCCCTGGCGTCCTCAGGGCACATCCCAGCATCCTTGGCGTTTCACCCTGGCGTCTTGGGTGTCCAGCGTGCCTGGCACCCTCGACGTTCCCAGCGTCCCTGACGTCCCCCCGCCAGCATCCTTGCATCCTCGGCATCCCCTGCGTCCCGGCGTCCTAGCATCCCAGCGTCTTTATAACGTCCATGATAGAAGTAGAAACGATACAAGAAAGTAATAGCAGTAGTGGTAGTAGCAGTAGTGGTAGTAGAAGCACTAGTAGTAGTAGTAGTAGTAGTAGTAGTAGTAGTAGTAGAAGTAGTAATAAAAGCAGTAGTAGTAGTAGTAGTAGTAGTAGGAGCAGTAGCAGTAGTAGTAGTAGTAGTAGTAGTAGTACTAGTAGCAGTAGTATTACCAGTAGTAGTAGTAGTAGTAGAAGTAGTAGTAGTAGAAAAAAGTAGTAGTGGTACTGGTAGTGGTAGTGGCAGTGGTAGTGGTAGTGGTAGTGGCAGTGGTGGTGGTGGTGGTGGTGGTGGTGGTGGTGGTAGTGGTAGTAGTAGTAGTAGTAGTAGTAGTAGTAGTAGTAGTAGTAGTAGTAGGGTCACTCTGTGCATTTTTTTGGACTACCCGACGCCCAGCCAGAAGTTCGAAGGTGGCAAGTGAAGCTCTCCACACCCTGAAGTGATGGTTTGAGGGCAACAAGACCAAACCCAAACGGAGGGGTTTGAGGGCAAGTTAAACCCTAAACCTGAACCCAATTTGGGGGGAGGGCAAGCGCAACCCAACACCTCCAAGCTAACCCTAAATGGGTGGTTTGCGGGCAAGAAAACCTCGAAACCTGAACCCTAAACCTGAACCCTAAAGCGACGGTTTGAAGGCAAATCAAACCCCAAGACTAAACCCTAAAAAGGTGGGTTGAAGGCAATGAGCGGAGGGGTTGATGGCAAGGGAACCCTGCACCTGAACCCCAAATGAAGGTAGGGTTTGAGGGCAAGTTAAACCCAACACTAAGGGCGCGAAACCAAGCTACACCCGAACCTGAACCCTAAATACTGAAACCCGAACCTGAACCCTAAAGTGAGGGTTTGAAGGCAAGTTAAACCCAAAACAAAACCCTAAACGTGGGGGTGTGAGGGCAAGTTAGACCCAAAACCTGCAGCCTAAATGGGGCAAGTTAAGCCAAAAGCTAGAAAGAGACCAGAAAGTGCAACAAAGTGGTTCTGGGCGCACGCGGATAGTACAAGTAAAGGTAGTGGTGGCAGTATTGTAATAGTAGCAGCAATAACAAAGTGTGGTAGTGGTAGTAGTAGTAGTAGTAGTAGTAGTAGTAGTAGTAGTAGTAGTAGTAGTAGTAGTAGTAGTTGTAGTAGGAGTAGTTGTTGTTGTTCTTCTTCTTGTCGTTGTTGTTGAGGGTGATGTTGTTGATTTTGTTGTTGTTGGTGTTGTTGATGTTGTTGCTGCTGTTGCTGTTGCTGTTGCTGTTGCTGTTGCTGTTGCTCGTGTTGCTCTTGTTGCTGTTGTTGCTGTTGTTGTTGTTGTTGTTGTTGTTGTTGTTGTTGTTGTTGTTGTTGTTGTTGTTGTTGTTCTTGTTCTTGCTCTTGCTCTTGTTCTTGTTGCTGTTGTTGTTCTTGTTGTTCTTACGGTTCTTGTTTGTCTTATTGTTGTTGTTGTTGGTGTTGTTGATGTTGTTGTCGTTGTCGTTCTCGTTGTCGTTGTCTTTGTCTTTGTCGCTGTCGTCGTCGTCGCCGTCGCGGTCGCGGTTGCGGTTGCGGTTGCTGTTGCGGTTGCTGTTGCTGTTGCGGTTGCTGTTGCTGTTGCTGCTGCTGTTGCCGTTGTTGCTGTTGTTGTTGTTGTTGCTGTTGCTGTTGCTGTTGCTGTTGCTGTTGCTGTTGTTGTGGTTGTCGTGGTCGTGGTGGTGGTGGTGGTGGTTGTGGTTGTGGCTGCGGTTGCGGTTGTGGTTGTGGTTGTGGTTGTTGTGGTTGTGGTTGTGGTTGTTCTTGTTCTTGTTCTTGTTTTAGTTATTGTTCTTGATCTTGTTGTTGCTGCTGCTGCTGTTGCTGTTGCTGTTGTTGCTGTTGCTGTTGCTGTTGCTGTTGCTGTTTCTGTTGCTGGTGGTGTTGGTGTTGGTGTTGGTGTTGGTGTTGGTGTTGGTGTTGGTGTTGTTGTTGTTGCTGCTGCTGTTGCTGTTGATGTTGCTGTTGCTGTGCTGTTGCTGTTGCTGTTGTTGCTGTCGCTGTTGTTGCTGCTGCTGCTGCTGTTGTTGTTGTTGTTGTTGCTGTTGGTGTCGGCGTTGTTTTTGTTGTTGTTGGTGGTGGTGGTGGTGTGTTGGTTGTGGTTGTGGTTGTGGTTGTGGTTGTGGTTGTGGCTGTGGTTGTGGTTGTGGTTGCGGTTGCTGTTGCTGTTGCTGTTGCTGTTGCTGTTGCTGTTGGTGTTGCTCTTGTTGTTGTTGTTGTTGTTGTTGTTGTTGTTGTTGTTGTTGTTGGTGTTGGTGTTGCTGTTGTTGTTTGTTTTGGTGTTGGTGTTGGTGTTGTTGTTGGTGGTGTTGTTAGTGTTGCTTTTGTTGTTGGTGTTCTTGTTGGTCTTGTTGTTCTTCTTCTTGTTGTTGTTGCTGGTGTTGTTGATCTTGTTGTTGGTGTTGTTGTTATTGTTGTTGTTGTTGCTGCTGCTGTTGTTTCTGCTGTTGTTGTTGTTGATGCTGTTGGATGTGTTGTTTTTGGTGGTGTTGTTATTGTTGCTGCTGCTGCTGCTGGTGCTGCTGGTGCTGCTGGTGTTGGTATTGGTATTTGTGTTGGTTGTGGTGTTGGTGTTGGCGTTGTTGTTGTTGCTGTTGCTGTTGTTGTTGCTGTTGCTGTTGCTGTTGCTGTTGTTGCTGTTGCTGTTGCTGTTGCTGCTGCTGTTGTTGTTTTGGTTACTATTTTGGTCAGTGTTGTTGTTGTTGTTGTGGTTGTTGTTGTGGTTGTTGTTGTTGTTGTTGTTGTCGTTGTTGTTGCTATTCTTGTTTTCTGCTTTCGTTTTTGATTTTT